GGGGGGGCTCTTACAAATCTTATAACAATCCACCATTCAGTTGTATTAAGCACACTTGTATATGTTGCCATCAACCTTAAATCTTGACTTTTAATAGTAGTGATTTCATGTGATATTTGTCCTTTTGAGGTTGATTCACTCCAAAAAATGCCTTTTAGATCAATCCATATTATGAAGTGTTTCATAGTTTCATTATTCTTTAACATTGTATACATTGTAACGTTATTCTATAACATTGTCGATTGTAGTATACCATTGTATGTACTTAGCATAGTTTGTGTATCCATTCATCTGTTGTTGGTCACTTAGGTTGTTTCCATCTTTTTACTATTGTGAATAGGCTGCAGTTAGTATCTGTTCATGTCATGTATGTGTGTATCCCTTCATGTCATGACTGTTATATTTCAAGGATATATACCTAGTAGTGGAGTTGCTGGATTCGATAGTATTTCTATTTCTAACATTTTAAGGAAGTAATATACTGTTTGCCACAGTGGTTGGCCAATTTTACAGTCTTTCTACTTTCCACACCCTCACCAGCATTTTAATTTCATGTTGTTGTTGTTGGTTTATTTGTATTTTAATTGTGATAGCATGCTAGGGCCAGGTGATAACTCATTGTTTTGGTTTGTAACTCTCAAGTAGTTAATGATCATGAGCACCTCTTCATGTGCTTGTTGACTGTAGAATTTCTGATCCGGTGAAGTGTCTGTTTTTTAATTGAGTTATTTATCCCTTTTGTGTCTTTAAGGTATTGATAGTATCGATACATTTTAACTATTAGTCCTTTGTCTGATATGTCATTGGCAAATTGTCTCCTAGTCTGTGGGTTCTCTTTTAACTCCTTTGTAAACCTCAGCTTCTATAGAATACATTTCCAGAATGACTTTGTTGCAGATATATTTACATTAAAATTTTAAGAGATTCTGAAATAGATTATTGACAATATTGATGTATATCTTTTTGAATTATTTATTCTTATGTCTGTTTTCCATAGTTGAGTCGTTTAGGATCTAGTTCACTTACTAGTATTCCCGAGGAAGTCCGTGAACATGTAAAGCTGTTGTTAAATGTGACTCCAACTGTAAGACCAGATGCAGATCAAATGACAAAGGTGAGTACACATATTTTTGACTTAGATAAAGGGTACAGCCATTGCTAACACCACCCCCCAACCAAACCCTCCCCCCCCCCCAAATTCAAGTAGATTAAGTGTTTCTAAAACAAGATTTAGGCAAATGTAGTCCTTAAATAACACTTGTATACTTGAACAGAGTGAATTCTCAGCTTACTAAAATTAAACATCAGCATGACTTGTGTGCATAATTCTCTGATAGGAGGTTACAGACCTAACCATGGCTATTTAATAACTTCCTTGTGCTCTTATGCCTTCAAGTTACTTCCCTAATCTGTTAGCATTTGAGTAGTTACAGACTGTCACTGCCCAGCCAGCTCACAGGCACAGATTCAGGTGAGTTGGATTTAAAAGAAAGTTAGTTTATTGTTATCCTGATTTTCATAATGAGAGAGAGTTTCTATTCAAGTTATCTTTAGTGTTTGCTAATTTTCTTTTCTTTTTTTAAATCAGGCGGTGGCAATTTGAAATAGAAGTGGTTTAATGTTACAATGTAACAGAATCACTTGACTTTCTTACTTTTAGATTCCCTTCTTTGATGATGTTGGCGCAGTAACGTTGCAGTATTTTGATACCTTATTCCAAAGAGATAATCTTCAGAAATCACAGTTTTTCAAAGGACTGCCAAAGGTTCTACCGAAACTTCCCAAGGTTTGTTATTGATCTGTTCCTGATTGTAGTCAAGATGTTAATTTAGAATTTAAAGTTTACCTCCACTTAGTATAATAACCCTTGCAGAGAAAGTGTGGTGCCTTTGACTAAGTGTATGAGAGGTCCACACGCTGCCGGCCGCTAGTTTGGTAGATCACTGGCACAGCAGCCACGCAGGAGGAACTGCCCTCTGTTTTGAATTGTAAAGTAAATATCTGATATGCAGGATGTATCTTCATTGTTACAAATTGAACATAAAGCATAGTGATTCATCACAAAAACAATATGTAATTATATATTGTGAAATATTTATTTCTAATTGAAAATACATGAACTTGTGTCTTAAAGCATCGTATAGCATGGGTAACAGTCTTAATATAACAACAGTAAACTACAATGCTACATTTTGCGACAGTATGTGTAAAAAGCCAACATCTCAGCTTCTTTCTCACCAGATCTGGTTATCTGCCTGTGGGTGGACAGGCCTGGAGACGGATAGAGGAGCAGTGTCTTGGTTGCTAAAACCATCGGAAATATATGTTTTCTAATGGTCTTAGGCGACTCCTGTGAAAGGGTCGTTCAACCCCTAAAGGGGGTTGCAATCCACAGGTTGAGAACCACTGCTATAGAGAATAAAGGAAAGAAAAAAGGAAACAACAAAATAATTGTTCTTGTTGCAGGCCTTACAGGTTAAAGATGGCTGATAGCTGTGAAAATGTCTACAGGTTCAAAGATAGTGCATTAATTTTTAACTTTTAGAAATTATATTACCAATTGTAACTTCATGGTTTAAGTCATTGACTACATATGCAAGAATTACTTGCTCTTTTATGTAGCATGTAAGCTTAATCTGTAAAACCCAAGTCATGAGGTGATTTCACAAAAGAATTCTTTTGTAAATAAAAGTTAATATAAACATTGCTTAAGTTGTGTGATGTGAATTGTAAGCAATGAAGGAATTAAAAGAAAGAAACATAAAGGCGAATTTGGGGAATTTTCCTCAGTGGCCATGTGTGTGGGCACACACAGCTCCTCCTCCCCCCTCCCCTCTTCCCCCCTTGTCTGGGTATTTCCAGCTTAGGCCTCTTGTCCTGGCATGATGAGGACTAGACCCCCACTGCTCAGTCGGGACATTTATTACATGGGCGCATTACCCAAAGGGACATGAGGCATTAAGCAATAACTTCAATGTTGACATAAAAGATTAGAAATAAACCTTCCTTTGTAAAATTTTGCCTTTCAGCGGGTCATTGTGCAGAGGATTTTGCCCAGTTTGACTTCAGAGTTCTTAAACCCTGACATGGTACCTTTTGTTTTGCCCAATGTTCTACTGATTGCTGAGGAATGCACCAAAGAAGAATATGTCAAATTGATTCTGCCTGAACTGGGCCCTGTCTTTAAACAGCAGGAGCCAATCCAGGTATGCGTGCAGATGTGTTTCTGAGGGTGACCGTCTTTGAAAACACAAAATAATGCATATGTGACTTTTTAAACATTTTGAGGTAAGAATACTTTTTGCATTAGTTAGAAAACTATGTCCTCTGTGAGTGAAGTGAACTAGCCCTAAAATTACAGTGGTCCTCTCAAGAAAACATCAGCAGTTCTCCATCACTTCTCATCTCGGTATGAATTGTAAGGAGGGCTTTTATGTGCTGTTCTGTTCCAGCTGGCTTCCTTATTAGTTGTAAAGTCTTGGAAAATGCCTTTTTTTCCTCTACATTTTGGTTTATTAGTTTAGTTTTTCGGGGCCTTTAATTTGTAGATGACTTGTGTCCATTGTTTCTCCTTGTTATTGCTATCCTGCAACTGGAAGAGAAACAAATGTTTCCAGTATCATGGAAATAATGTGCCCATGTCTTGTAAGTGTAAAGGCTCATCTCTGATGGATGGAAGTTGCCTCTTTATTTCAATTATGTGGAAACACTTAGGTGAGAAAGGGCATAATTGAAATGGTAATTATTTCTTCAGAAATATTTTTCCTTACAGTCCTAGTAATTTTGTCACTTGTTCTTGATGAAGAAGACCATAGGTGATAGTAACGAACAATTAGAATGGAGAGAATGGTTAGGTTGTCTCTTCGTTGCTCGGGAGAATAGAGGTAGGTCCACCCCATTTCACAAGCCAGTTTCTTGCCCCAAAGTAATCAAGCTTGCTCTGTGGGCTGAGAAGTCCACCACTCTCATCTCTGCTTCTGCTGCTCCTTTGTTGTTCCTCTGATCTCACAGCTGTTTGGGACCAAGGAGCTTCGCTGCACAGAGATCTCAGAATCAGAGGATGTCCTCCCTGCCTCTTTCTTACTCGTAGTGAGAGCCCTCTTCCTGCTTCTGAGCTGACTGACTTTAAAGCTAGCAGGGTGGCAAGCACAATGAATCCTGTTAGCAAGTATTCACAACTTAATCCTATTAGTGTCTTCCCCCACCTTCAAAGGTAGTTTGGTAGGATTTACAGAGACTATGCCTAGAGCTACATTAAATAAGTTACTGCACTATAATGCCCCTTGTTAACTTGCTTTCTCTGAAGCTTGCTGTCTTTGCAATTTGTATGTCATCTGCTGTGGCCTAGAATATCAGATAGCCAGGCATATCAGACTTGTTTGCACTAAGCATAATGGGACTGTGCCTTAGGAAATTCATAGAAACCAAGGGATACCATTCATATCCTTGGGACATCTGACTTTTCTACTTTCAGGCTTTCAGTTGTTTGTTGGTTTGTTATATTCAGCAGTTGTATTGGTGTATATAATTTGCCTATCATACAATTCAGTGGATCACTGACATCAAGAAGGGCATCATCTTCACACCATCACAGTTAGTTTTAGAACATTCTTGTCATTCTTGTGCTCATCGTCATTAGCGCCCCAGGCTTTTATACTAGTATTTTTGTTATCCATTAGCTTTCCATGTAGTTGGAACTTGTGATTTACTGTTGATAGGTGAGCATTAGGAAACATTTATTTTCAAATGTTCCAACTGCTAGTAGGAGCCAAATACTTCCTAAAATGTAAAGACACTTATTTGTCTGTTTTTGTCTTTCATGCCTTCAGGCCAGCAACATGGTAAGTGTCAAAATGTATGGCCTATTCTTTTGACACATGTGGAATCTCTTAAGGATTCTAGTCTTTAATACATTGTTCCCTTTCTTCTTATACAGATTTTGTTAATTTTCCTACAAAAAATGGATTTGCTACTTACCAAAACCCCACCGGATGAAATAAAAAACAGTGTCTTACCAATGGTTTACAGAGCACTAGAAGCTCCTTCCATTCAGATCCAGGTATGGTATTTGATTTGTTCGTCTCTAATGATGAGTTTGATCCTAAAAGCAGAAGAAAGAAAAAGATACAGTTTGGGGTTTAAGTCATAAAACCTTTTATATAATGCTCATCAGCAGTATGCATATATATATGTGTATGTATGTATTGAAATACATTAAACATATCTGCTGCCGAAAAGTGTCCATCTACAAGTTTAAAGGATCAGTTGATATAAATCCCTGTTCTGGGAAATAAAACAATTCATTGTTTTTATTTATTTCAAATGTACTATTATAGAATAAGGTTTGATTTGTTGTAGTTTAGATTGTTCATTTAACCTTCTTAGTTGGGTAGATGAAATATGAATGAACATATGCTATGAAAAAAATTAAAGACAGTTGTCTTTTCCTTATAACATTAAGTGGGTGTTTCATGTGCTCGTAGTAGTCCTCCATGCCCGTTACCTAAAATGTCTGTTTAGAAATGCTGCTCCTTCTCCCCTGAAATTAATTTTTGTAATAGGGAAGTGGAAAAGCAGACAATACTTTTTGTAACCACTCTTTTTTTTTTTTAATCAATTTATTGGGGCTCGTACAATTCATCACAATACATAGATCAATTGTGTAAAGCACATCTATACATTTGTTGCCCTCATTATTCCCAAAATTTGCTTTCCTCTTGGGTTCCCGGAATCAGCTCATTATGCATCTGCAGTCAAGATGTGGCTTCAGAAAACTTTCAAGCATCATATATTCTGCCAGACGTTTAGTTCTATAACTTTTGCTTTTGAATTTTCAGTTCTGTGTGCTGTCCGTCTGAGTGAGATTGCGAGTGACAAAAGCCTGATGTGAGTGGTGGTTGTTGCTTTACTCTGGAAAATATATTCTGTAGGAAGAACATCTCATTGTACACATGACTTTAGATTTAAAATGTGATAGTCTCTTTGCCGGTATTTTTTAAAGTTGTTGATTTCAGTTTTGTTTTTTAAACACGAACCTAGAAATACTTATTATTAGAGGGCTGCAAAAACTTAATGGGAAAAAATGGAACCAAAAGTGGGACTATTTTTAAGCCTGCTCTTATAAGGCCAATTTGAGGGTTTATTCTTATTTTTATTTCCTGAGCTTTGTTGTGTATTTGAGGCTGTGAGGTTAATGTTAAAAAATTAATCTTTCTAATATTGAGATCATCCTTCTTATGGGTGAGAGAATTAGCTCCCTTTGTTCAAATGACAGGAATGTGCTGTGCAATGCTTTCTAAGAAACTGTGACTGTAGTCCCTTGACGGATTTCCGTGGGCCTGTGTAGCTCGGCTGGCTTTGTGTTCCCTGTGATTAAGGAGGAAGAGAATGGTTAGGCAGCATGAAAGGCCTTTTTATAAATATAGGAAGCAGGCACTTTCATAAGGGAGTTATTTGTGTCAGTAAGTATCGATTCATTCTTTTTCGAAGTCACTGATAATGTAAATAAAACTGATTTGGCAGCTTTGCTGAATTTTAGAAACCACCTTTGCTGACATCGTCGCCGTAGGTCTTTATTCACCAATCCAATTTATTAGTATCATTGTTTGGTAAGAGCAGGATAAGTGTATCTGAAAACAAGAAACAGAATCTTTAATCAAACTTCATGCAAGGAGAAGGCTATAAGGAAACTTAGGAAATTCATATTTGAGACTTGATAGACATTTTTTAAAAGTGAAATTTGATGAGAAATATATAAAATGGTTCTGAAAATCATTTTAAAAGGTAGAAGATGCTTTGTAAAAGCTAAGGGGATTAAAAGAAGGCATTGTATGTATATATGAAATGGTTTTTTTAAAAAATTAGTATTAGCTTTTTATGTTAAGCTTAGAAGCCATATATACATTCCACCACCACCACCATCTTCCCCCACACATCAATTATAGTCCCAAATAAGGCAAAAAATAAGAAACAAATGCTTTAAGAATTTGCTAGTTGAATTTCTTTAAGGACTTTTTGGTGTTCTTCTTTCTCAGTTTTTCCTTAGGTTCTTTATCTTGTCTCCTAGGAAGAAAGCTGTTCCACCACTTAACTAAGTAATGTAGCCATTAGGATTTGTGCTCGTTTGACCAGCTTACTGCCCGAGCTTGGTAGTACAGCACAGCACTGTACAGTTGCTCTGTCTGAAGATGAGTGAGTGGTTGGGTTCCTTTGCCGAAAGCCCCTCTCATTCTCAGTGTAATCTGTTAAAGGCTGATCTTCCTCACGAGGCGGTGTGCCTTTGGTAATAGGAGCCAGTGTCTCATTGTCTGCTCACCTGCTCATTCTCCGCCGCCATCTGTGGAAAATGGTGCCCGAAATGTTGCTTCTTGTCCTCTAATTAATATCAGCCACATTAAGTATTACAGTTCTGACTGGATATAAGAACATAACTTTTATAGCTGTCTTTGGGATATAATTTGGGGATAAATTAAAGCAAATAAAATACATACCAGTATTATGTAACACAGTCTTTGCAGTTAATTCATTTGTCTGCTAACTACAAATGTCTTACAAGTTTACCACCCTCTGTCAATCGCTCCTTTCCTCGTGTACTTTGTACTTCCATTCCCTCAGTAATTCCTTTTCCTGTCTTTTGCTCAGAGAGCCTTGTTCATTCTACATCTTATAAGGGACCTGACATGTGTATTCTCTCGCCAGTTCTCGGGCCATTTCCTGCTGTTTTCATTTTCTCATTCAGTACCCCACACTCTATAATCTTTTCTTTTTCTCAGTTATTCTCGGAGTTCCCAGGCAGAATGGCACAGTATTACTAAGAAGGAACTAAGTAACTTTCCCGATTCTATAAATTATACTTGCTTGCAGCTCACAATTTGGAAGCATACTTAGAACTCTAAAGAAAATAATAATCCTCTCTCTAAGATGACCACCATTACCAATTTGGGATATATTCTTCTAGTTGTTGTTATTTTTCCTCTGAGCACATGGAAGACACATATATGTACATGCACAATTTTAAAGATTAAAGTTGTAATACTGTTCGATTGCGTTTCTCTTCTGAAGGCTGTTAAGCTGTCTTGTTAAGCATTTTTAAGTATTTGAATTGCAGTGCCTCATATGAATACTGGTAACAACTTGAAAGCCCTTAAGAGGAATTCTCTTTATGTGACTTTGTTCTTGATTTTTCTTCATTGTAAAAGGTGACAAAATTTTAGGTATCTATTTTTTTGTAACAAACTATGTTATCAAAGAAAGATTAGGAACGAGAGCAAGAAGTTTTGATAGTGTGTACCAGTTATATGGCCCAATATGGGGTTCTGAGCCTGTTTACTCATTTGTAAAATTGGAAAGTAATAAAAGCTATTTTCCAAAGAGTTGTGGAGAGAACCAACTGATAAATTTGAAGGTTTATTTCAAACTATGTGATAGATGAACCCCATCAATATGGAATGTATAGTTTTGTGTTGTTTTTAATATGCTAAAGAAAGGATGAGAAAATCTTTTCTAAAATTGATCCAGGATTTATTTTCTTACTAGGAACTCTGTCTAAACATCATTCCAACCTTTGCAAATCTTATAGAATATCCGTCCATGAAAAATGCTTTGATACCAAGAATTAAAAATGCATGTCTACAAACGTCTTCCCTTGCTGTAAGTAATTGTATATTGTGTTGCTTTTCTTTTCCTTCTTAGTGGTTTAAATAATGTTTCTTGTTGTTTAACAATCTGTTTATTGTTTGTTCAAGTATTTCTTGTTAGCTCTAGGTAACTGATACGTATTATGAAATGAGCAATAACCATAGTTTCCCTGGCACATAACTTACAATATTGCTTCTCTAGCCTTACTCCTTGCCCTCATTCTCCTTGCCACCTAAAAGTTTGTGTGTTTTTTCTTTATTTTTTTCTACTTGAACTCACAATTAATTTTGTTGTTAACTTAAATGTAATCATGAGAGTTTAATTGGTAGATAATCTAAAAACTTTTTGAATGGCTTTCTTTTATAAACAGCCTATCTTTTTAGCCATCTATCACCTATGATTTTTAGTCCTCCACCTAATACCTACTTTAAAAAAAGTAGAGAGTCCAATAAAATAATAAGTTAATGTGAATACAAGTGTGAGAAAATAATTTTACTCAAAAGTATAGTATATCATATAATGAATAAAATAACATTTCAGGGACAATAAATGTTTGTAGATTTCTCTCTAACCCTACATTGTAAGAAGACTTTATCACAGAGGGACAATGCAGGGTCATTTTAAATTGCAGCTTTTGAAAAAAGGGAGAAATGCCCGTCGCCTGACCAGTTTTTATACTGATGTCTGGCAATGAGCATTCTATGCTGTTCTTAATTTTTGTTTTGTAAAATCCATTCTTGGTGCTTTCATCTCTTTTTATCTGGTGGGTTGTGAATTTAAACAGTTTGTAGCTTAATAGAATTATCGGCAAAAGCAATTTAAAAGATAACTGTCTTGTTTGATAGCTATCTGCTTTATTTTAGTTCATGCTTCTTGCTAGAAAGGCTCTGACATGGAAACATGCCAAAATAGGAAAAAATACACTGTGCCCTGGAAGTCAAAGACCTTGATTTCTTTTTCTGACTTGGTGAGAATGAGGTGTTGGGCAATTCACCTCATTTCTCCGAGGCTTTTCATCAGCATTAGAATGATAGGAAAAGCAGTCCTTTTCATTGAAAGTCTTTGATTTCATAACTTAATTTTCAAAATAGGAAGTGGTAATATAAAGCCTCATTGTTATGGCGTCAGTTCCAACTCATAGTAACCTGTAGCACTGCCCCTAAGAAATCCTAGGGGGAAGTGCGCTGTCCTACAGGGTTGCTACGACTCAAAGGCACACAGCAAAATAACATGCCCCTAAATTTCTTTTCAAAACAATACCATACCTTATTTTATGGCAGTATGAGTTTATCTCAAAGCACACATTCTCTTTCCGTTTTAGTAGACAGGCGAAGTGAAACGGGAAGCATGAGGCTAGCAGTCATGCCTAGTGTTCACTTGTTCAACCTGTTTAAGACACCAACGGACTCCTGCAAGGAACCGAATTCACAATGAGTTTACAATGAATGCATTTATAACAATGACTCGGGTTAACTTGCTTTTTTTTTTTTAAAAGCAACATTTTTTTAACTTGCATTTTGTATTGCTATCAGTGTATCTGTCATTAGATGATAAATGTGAATTTGCAAATTGTGTTTGTAGACCTATATCTAAACATTAGATGTTCCACCTAGGAAATTCTTGACGCACAGCTGTGAGTTAGAATTACATATCTTAATACTAGAACCAGATAGTGAAGAATAATAAGTTCTACAAGGAATTTTAGAAAATGCTTTAAGAGCTGTATCTATTCATGACATATAGGAGTAATAATACATTGTGAAGGAAAATAAAATTAAGTTTACATTTCCAGTTCCTCTTAAAATAGGTGCACTCCACTTGAATACAGTGATCCTTTAACAAAACTAATTGTAAAAACTAGCCATACCTTTAGATAATTCCTTTTGAATGTATATTGTCCCTTATATTTGGATTTCAGAAAACAGTCATATGTGTTATTTTTCAGAAATGAAAATTCTTTAAATTTTTGACAGAAATGTACTTTTTAAACCATCCAAGTCAGCTGTTATTATTACCTTTTTTCCATTTAAGTTTTATTGAAATTGAGTTCTTGATTCAAAATACTCTAAACTGATTATAGCAAAAAAGCTTAGCATGTGGAATATTTATCAAAATAGTCAAGTGAATATAGAATTTGGTTAACAGCATCAAAAGTCAGGTTTTAGTAACAATATTTAGAGATATATAAAATTAGAAAACTTTATGTAGAACAAGTATGGGTAATCTCTATATGTTATTGAAATATTTATTTTAAGAATAAAATATCTGAGTTATAAAAAAACAACTGGAATTCTTTATCTGGTGGGGAGAATTTATTCTTTTTCTACAACTGCAGATGTTCCCAAAGGAGCGTTTTTGGTAAACACTAGTAACAGGTGTGTCACTTAGTGTCCACCATGCGTCTTATACAACTGAACGTTGTAAGTTTGGTTTTAGCATGGTGACAGCATCATATAAAGACGTGGAGCCCACGCGGTTGTCCTCATCACCGCTTGCTGCTGGCCTGCTCCTAGAAGCTGGAGGAACTGCTTGTTGCAGCAGCAGGGGCTGAGAGAGCAGGGAGTGGGTGAGGGCTCAGCTCTGCCTGCCTTCTGCCTGCCTGCCTGAGCAACAGCCCTCCACCCTCACCCCACTGCTGCCAACTGCCCACTGGAGAAAGACTTAAGAGCCCTTGGCAGAGCCACGCATGCCCCCTGCCTCAGCTGCCTATAGTCTAACCATGATCTAGTCTGGGACCTGCAAGAGTAAGAGTTCGGGCCCCTTAATCTGGTGGGGAGAATTCATTATTTTCAAGGGGAAATAATTTTTAAAAAGGAGAGCTGTTTTCCCTTTTAACCCCCCCCCCCAAAAAAAAATCCCAAAAAACAAAACCGCAAGCTAACCAACAAGCATACTTTATGGGACCATAGACAAGAGGTATATATGGTAGGACAGACATTAAGCAACATATACCTGTATAGTAGAAGCTTCACAACCCCTAATTATTTAACAGTTTCACTGGCATATAATTAATGTATCAGACAATTCAGTAGTTCAGTCATATCAAAAAGAGGTGAACAGTCATCTCCACAATCTATATTGGAACTTCTCATCTTTCTAGTACTCATTGCTATTATCTCCCCATTTTCTCCTGTGCTCCTCCCCTGCCGCACACCCCAAGAAACCTTCAATGCGCTTGCTGTCTATATAGCTTTACCCAGCTTGGATTTCACATACAGAAAAACATAGAACAAACAAACAGGAACAACAACAGAACCACTGCACTCTGCATGATATAAAGGCTATCCACATCCCTGGGGTATGGTCAGAGGGAATTCACCAGAGCCTTAATCTATGTATGGACCCTGAAAATGGATTTTGGGTTCCCAGTGTCATCCATAGCTTTCTGCAAACTGAGTATTTACAATTTAACCTCTGATGACATTCCCTCTTTGGGATTTGGATTTTATTATTTATAATTCATGAATCACACAGACTCCTGTGCTTCTTCATGTGGTCTTACTTAACACCTGAGTTAGATGGCTGCTTGTCTGAAGATAACCCATTAAGACCCCAGATATTATGTATTCTTTCTGATAGCTGGACACCATGTGTTTTTTTCACCACACTTAGCTTATAGCTCCCATATTCTCAGTGATCTTTTTATGAGGGCTAGCATCAAACAGGTTCATGTAATAGGAACTAATTTTCTTAGACTGCGACTAGAATTAAGTGTGAGTGCAAAATGCATTCATGTATCTATGGTTTCTCTGTATGTCTCTGGTTCCCTTTAGAGAAATCATCATTTCATATTAGAGAACATTATCAATCATCCTTCTGGGGCATACAGTAATCCTGTTGATAGCAACATTAATCTAGTCAATGATAGAAACATTTTTGTAGAAAGGAAACTACATAAGAATAGGCTGGCTACAAACTGCAATACATGAATTGTTAACTTGTAAAGATTAAAGTCTTGGTTGGCTGGACACTTATTTATATAATCAGTGGGGTTTGATGATACAGCAAATGCTTCAATAACATTCATTCACAAAGGAAGAACCAAGCTTTCCAGATTCATGTATGTCATAATAAAGTAAGGGGGATATTAACATAGTAATTAAGTATATGTTGTTCTAGGCCACCATTCATTGGGCACCTTCAAGGCAAAAGATCCACACCAAGTCCAACAGTCGTCAGTTCTAGAACCTTAAGTTAGCAGTCATCTGGTTCTGAAACACTGGGGAGTTTCACCCTTAAGACCAAGGGCTCAGGGGGCATTTGAGGTAAAGCTCAGTTCACTTAGTGAGATCCCCACAGCAGGTCTTTTTGGCCTGGTTTTTGGAGGAGGATGTGCACCTCAAACAGATTATGCTGGTCCTGACCCTGTAGAGATAATAGCTAGAAGGAGGGGTTCCTGTGGGATACCGTGGGGGAGAGCGGGAGGTAAGGAGTTCAAGAGGGAATTAAAAATGTTGAAACTGGTTTTGGTAGCGATTGTACAATACTGTTTGATGTAATTGAACTATGGAATGGTATGATGTCTGGATTAGCTTCTAATAAAATGATTTGGAAAAAAATAACATGGGGATAATATTTACCAATTCCGTAGAGTTGTTTTCATATGTAATTGTAATTATTCATAAGAACCTTCATAAGGGTGTTTGACAAATACTGTAAAGGGGAAGCTTAAATAAAGAAAATATGACTGATGCCACATTAATTAGGAACTGGTGACATATTATATTGACTAATGAGAAGCAGAATGTCATCGCCAACCCACTAGACTCCATCTACTTATTCATTTAAAACTTGATGAACTTCTCCCGAGTGCTTTCCAGCAGAAACTTTAAGGTATACAGCAACCTGCCATCATCAAACGCGCTTACATGACAATCAATGTATTTCATTGAGATCAATTATGTTGGTAAATGTACTATCTCCTTTTGGAACTTTATTATTAAGGTTGTTATTAATAAAAACCGTATTATTCTGGGGGGGCGGTGAATTATTATGAAACATTAAGATTATTATGAAACATTAAGTAAGGCAATACAGGATTAAAGTATTCATTATGATAAATTGCATTCTTGTGCAGAAAAATATTTTCAACACAGGTATTGTAAGCTACTGAAAACATTTCTGCACTCACAGTGTTTGTTCAAATTGGAATCCCATTGCTTTGGAACTCACAATTAGTGCAGTCTAATAAATTTTATGGTGCAATCTAATAGGTTGCATGTTTTCAGACTTAGAAAAAGAACACACAGATTTTAAGTCTGAGCATTGTATAGTACACATTGTATAGTACACAGCTTGGATCAAGGCCTGGGTAGCAACTAGGTCAAAAGGGTTCAAATCGCATTCGCCCTTTGGGTCTCTATAAGTATTTCCAAGCTCTTTATTTTTGGTTCTCCCATTTACCCGTCAGCAGAAATGTAATCACTTTCTCTGACACTGACACTGACAACTTTCTCTCTCT